GTGGTTTTCAAAATGTGGCTTTCGCCCTAGCGCCGCGCACATTCGTTGTTTGACGAAAACGCAAGAGTTTCACGTACTGAGGGCGAGCCGTTTTTGTTTATGTAGTCATTGTTATAGCGCCGCGCACATTCGTTCATTTCCCAGAGTGTTGCGGATTGAGGGCGGTTTCTTTTCAACATGTGGCTCTCGCCTTAGCGCCGCGCACATTCGTTTTATAGAACATTGCAAGGGTTTCACGTATTGAGGGCGGGTGGTTTTTGAAATGTGGTTCTCGCTTGAGCGCCGCGTACATAAGTTTTACAGATTCGCAAGAGCTTCACGGATGGAGGGCGGTTCCTTTTTCAAAATGTGGTTCTCGCCTTAGCGCCGCACACATTCGTTTAAAACAATTACAAGAGTTTCACGGGTTCCCAGGATCAACGTACCAGACACGGCGTTATGGAAATATTCAGGATTATGCGGGTGCAGCAGTTATGTTGATTCGCGCTGCTGAAGTCCCAGGAATGGCGTTCTGGCACAATTCAGGATCGTCAAGACGCAACGGTCAGGTTGTTCCGTTGCGGTGGAATCCCGAGAACAATGTTTTGGCATGCTTCCGGATCTTCAAACGGTGATCTTCCGACGCGGCAGTTCCCTCAGTGGAGATGGGCCGTTGGTAGGATTGCAGGAGCCTGTGAAGAGGGAGCTTGGACGGAGGGTTGATTCCAATATCGTTGATGACTATTGGGTTTACACTTGCCCGCCTCCACCTCCTCCTCCTCCTCCTCCTCCTCCTCCTCCTCCTCCTCCTCCTCCTCCTCCTCCTCCTCCTCCTCCTCCTCCTCCCCCCCGCCTCCTCCTCCTCGTCCTCCTCCTCCTCCTGCTCCTCCTTCCCCCTCCCCCCGTTCGCCCCTTCTGACTCCCCCCTGTTCCTCCTTCTCCTCCTCCTCCTCCTCGTCCTCCTCCTCCTCCTCCTCCCCTCCTCTACTCCTTCCTCCTTCCCTCCTCCATTCCCTCCAGCTACCCTGCCCCTTGCTCCTCCCCCCCCCACCCTCTCCGCCGCCCTCCTCCTGCCTCCTCCTCCTCCTCCTCCTCCTCCTCCTCCTCCTCTCCTCCTCCTCCTCCTCCTCCTCCTCCTCCTCCTCCTCCTCTCTCCTCCTCCTCCTCCTCCTCCTCCTCCTCCTCCTCCTCCTCCTCCTCCTCCTCCTCCTCCTCCTCCTCCTCCTCCTCCTCCTCCCTCCTCCTCCTCCTCCTCCTCCTCTCCTCCTCCTCCTCCTCCTCCTCGTCCTCCTCGTCGTCCTCCTCCTCCTCTTTCTCCTCTCCTCCTCCTCCTCCTCCTCCTCCTCTCCTCCTCCTCCTCCTCCTCCTCCTCCTCCTCCTCCTCTCCTCCTCTCCCCCTCCTCCTCCTCCTCGTCGTCCTCCTCCTCATCCTCGTCCTCGTCCCTCCTCCTCCTCCTCCTCCTCCTCCTCCTCCTCCTCCTCCGCCTCCTCCTCCTCTTTCTCATTCTCCTCGTCCTCCTCACCGTCCTCCTCCTCCTCCTCCTCCTCCTCCTCCTCCTCCTCCTCCTCCTCCTCCTCCTCCTCCCTCCTCTTCCCCCCCGCACTCCCCGCTGCTCCGCCCGCTCTTTTTCCTGTTGGGCCGTGCGAGGAGCCCTGGCTTTGGCGCGACCTCACGCCGCTCCACCTGGCCATCCTCTCCAAGAGCCCTCGCCCCAGGGGACGGTCGCGACAACGGTGGCAGCAGCGACGACGACGACGGTTCTCCCTCCTCCCTCCTACCTCGCCCCTCTCTTGTCTTGGCCCCGCTCCTCCTCGCCCCCCTCTCGGCTCCTCCTCCTCCACCTCCCTCCTCCTCCCTCCTCCTCCCTCCAGCCCGCCTCCTTGCAGGCAGCTCCTGCCCGTCGCGCCACCAGACATGTCGGAAGTGGGGGGCCAGGCTTTTCGCCTGAGACTTGCTCGTCGCTTGCGCCCCCTGAGCCCTGACATTTCCAGCAGCAGCACCGATGGAGGCCGGGCCGCTCTCAAATTTGGGTTCTCGACCTGGCGTCGCGCACGCTCGTTGCAACACAAGCTCAACACATACGTGGACGGAGGCCGAACCGTTTTCAAGCTGGGGCTTTCGCCTCGGCGCCACGCACACGTGCCCTCAACCCATCTAGCCTCTACACGGATGGAGGGCGGCCCCCTTTTCTAAATGGGGCTCTCGCCGGAGACTCCTTCGACATGCAGAATGACACACATGGGGAATTGGGGACTCACGCGCTGATTCGGCACGGGGGCTGGCGTTGCAGACTGAGCCTCGAGATGCCAGCCTTGAGTCGCAGGCAGTGCCCACCTCATCCCCGAGGGCCCTGCTTTGCGGCAGCTTATGTAGGCAGGTGGCTGCCATCCAGCTGGGACCTCGTCGACTGCTTTGCTGCAGGGAGAGGATCCCGTCATGTGTGCAACGGTTATGCGGATGGTCGGCACCTCATTTTCATAGTCGGGCTCTCGCTCTTGAGACTTCGTTCGGTTGCACCGCCCAGGAATCCACCACTGCGCAACGGTCGCGCGGACGGGGGGCGACTCCCTGTCAAAGCCGGGCGGTCTCTGGGCACTCGTTTGAAGTCCGCGGCCCCATCTTGTTGGATTCTCTCCGGCTCGAAGGACGGAGGACACATTTCTTTGACGACGGAGCTCCCGCCTCGATTGCTGTCCCATGGGGCGCTCGTCTTCCAAGGGGGGGAGGCGCCTCGTGCAGCGAAGGGGAAAGCTTGCAGGGACCGACAGGGGGGGACTTTGGACGGGAGGGTGTTTTGCAGCACCGCTGGTACATCTCGGGGTTAGTTGCCCGGGTCCACTTCCTCCTCCTCCTCCTTCCTCCCTCCTCCTCCTCCTACTTCCTCCCTCCTCCCCCTCCTCCTCCTCCTCCTCCTCCTCCTCCTCCTCCTCCTCCTCCCTCCTCCCCCTCCTCCTCCTCCTCCTCCTCCTCCTCCTCCCTCCTCTCCTCCTCCTCCTCCTCCTCCTCCTCCCTCCTCCTCTCCTCCTCCTCCTCCTCCTCCTCCCCCCTCCTCCCGCACCAAGGCCACGACGTGGCCGAGCTCCTGGTGGAGACGTCCACCCCGGACAGCCTGGCGGTACCCTGCGCCTTCAAGGACCCCCCCTTGGGGGCGGACTCGAGGCGGGCTCTGGAGACACCGATGCCGCTGCTCATCCCGGGGCGCCCTCGTCGCCGGGGCCGGACTCGCCTCGAGATGATGTTCAGAACGCGCCGAAGGCGAAGTCTTGTTCGAAGTGGTGTCGGTTTTGTTTGGTTCTTCCAGGAGAAGGCCCTTCCCCTGATTCGGGGGGAGAGGGGGAAGGGGGGATGTGGGGATGGAGGAGAATGGGCATTGCGGCTGCGTGCTTCTGAGTGGCGAGCAGCGTGGGCCAATGGACAGCGCTGGAAGCGAAGCTTCTAGGAAACGCAAAAAGCAATAATCGGAAACGCAGTTTGGCGTGTGGGCGTGGAGCAGGGCGGATGAGGACTGAGGATGGGCGAGGGGCGAGGATGATGATGATGAGGAGGAGGAGGAGGAGGAGAAGGAAGGAAGAGGAGGAGGAGAGGGAGGAGGAGGCTAGGACGCAACGTTCACCGAACCTCATGCCTGACCAACGTCTGAGAACGAGGAGGAAGAGGAGGAGGAGGAGTAGGAGGAGGAGGAGTAGGAGGAGGAGGAGGAGGAAGAGGAGGACGAGGATGGGGAGGAGGACGAGGAGGAGGAGGAAGAGGAGGAAGAAGAAGAGATGGACGACGATGATGATGATGATGATGATGATGATGATGATGATGATGATGGTGATGATGGTGATGATGATGATGGTGATGATGGTGATGATGATGGTGGTGATGCTGATGCCGATGATGATGATGATGCTGATGATGCTGATGAACATGATGCTGATGCTGACGATGATGATGGCGATGATGATGCTGATGTTGATTTTGATGATGAGGATGTGGATTATTATGCGGACCATGGCGATGATGGTGCTTCTGAGTATGATGCTGATGATGATGTTGCTGTTGTTGATGATTATGCTGATGATGATGACGATGATGACGATGCTTATGATGCTTATGCTGATGATGGTGAAGCTGATGCTGGTGTTGATGATGATGATGAGGATGATGATGATGATGGTGATGCTGATGATGAAGATGATGATGATGATGATGATGCTTATGATCATGATGATGATATGGTGCTGCTAATGATAATTATGCTGCTGCTGGCGATGATGCCAGCAATGCTGATGATGTTGGTGATGATGTTGATGGTGAGGTGATGATGGTGATGATGACGATGACGATGACGACGATGACGATGATGATGATGCTGCTGAATTGTGATGATGGTGATGATGATAATGCTGGTGCTGATGATGACGATGATGGTGATGATGGCAATGCTGATGCTGATGATGCTGATACTGTTGTTGACGACACTAATGATCATGTTGATGATGGTGATGCTGCTGCTGCTGCTGACGATGATGCTGATGATGCTGCTGCTGATGATGATGATGAAGCTGATGCTGCTGCTGCTGATGATGATGATGGTGATGATGATGGTGATGATGATGACGATGATGATGATGATGATGATGATGATGATGGTGGTGGTGGTGGTGGTGGTGGTGGTGATGATGATGATGATGATGATGAGGATGAGGATGAGGATGATGATGATGATGATGATGATGATTATGATGATGATGATGATGCTGATGATGATGATGACGACGACGATGATTATGATGATGATGATGATGATGATGATGATGGATGATGATGATGATGATGATGATGATGATGATGATGATGATGATGATGATGATGGCGAGGAGGAGAGGAGGAGGAGGAGGAACAAAACTATTAAGAAGAAGAGGAGGAGGAGGTGGAGGATGAGGAGGAGGAGGAGGAGGAGGGGAGAGGAGGGGAGGAGGGTGAGTAGGATTATTAGCACTAAGCCGAGCAGGGTCAGAAAAGGAGAGGAGGAGGATGAGGAGGAGGAGGAGGAGGAGGAGAGTGGACTCCTTCGGCCATCAGGAATAGGAATTGGGAGGAGGAGGACGAGGAGGAGGAGGAGGAAGGTTGGTGGGAGCGGGAGGGGCGAGGATGAGGAGTTGCAGGAGGAGGAGGAGGAGGAGGAGGAGCAGGAGGAGGAGGCGGAGGAGGAGGAGGAGGAGGAGGAGGAGGAGGACTAGGAGGACGAGGAGGACAAGGAGGAATAGGAGGAGGAGGAGGAGGAAAGAGGAGGAGGAAGGAGGAGAGGCTGGAGGAGGAGGAGGAGGAGGAAGAGGAGGACGAGGAGGAGGAGGAGGAGGAGGAGGAGGAGAAGCATGAGGAGGATGGTTTACAGGTTTGTCAGGAGGTCTCCGGAGAGTTCCCTTCCCTCGTGTGGGACGTTTGTCGTGTTTTTTGTTGGGTTGCCCCTCGCGGGCTCCTTCTCTGAAGGAGGCTGCGACGGCCCGCAGGCGCACCTACACTATGGAGGTCGACGCGGACGACGCTGCCCCCAGCGCTGCACTTGCGGCGGCGGGGGTGGAGGTCGACGCAGGCCCCGGCGCCGCGCTGGCACTGGCGTAGGCGCCCCGGCGCCGGCGGCACTTGACGAAGGCGACAATTCAGCCACCCACGGAGGCGGAGCGTGGACTATCTCTGCCCAATCCTCGCGCACCCTGTCGACGTGTGCGAGTTGCCTAGAAGAAGTCCCGGCCAGAGCGCCGCGCGTGCGCCGAGGAGGGCTGGGCGCTCGCGCGCACCAAATCGACTGCGCCGCTGCGCTGCGCGGCCGAGTCGAGGAGCTGGCGGGGTGGGGCCATCTCCGCGCGGAGAAGGAGGCGGAGGCCCAGGCCGCTTTCGGGGCAGCGGGCGTTGACGCCGCAGCTGCTGCTGGGCCCCTACCCGGAGCTGCCCCTGGGGCGGCAACGGGGGGCGCGGGAGGGCCAGTGCGGAGGCAGGAGGCGAGGGGGAAGGAGGCGGTGCAGCACGGGGAGTTGCAGCGCGTGGAGTTCTGGGTCGCGCTGCCCTGAGACCGCCTGCGTGACCCTGCGCGCGCCTGCGGCGAGGTCGACTGGGCAGCTGCGGCGACTGCGGTGTCGACCTTGGTCCTGGACCTGCTGCCCTGGGGCCTGTGCGTAGCCGCCGCGCGCGCGCACGCGGCGCACGACGGCGCCCAGACCCTTCTTCCGGGGGGGCGTGGCGGTGACCAGGGGGACGGTTTCACCACTCAGGTGTCCTTTCTGCGCTACCTCGGGGTGGCCGGAGTCGCGGGGCATGCAGCGACCGCGGCGGCGGAACCAGCGAGAGGCTATTGCTACCAAGATGACACGTCATCTTTGACCCTTCCAGAGCCGCGACCGCCGAGGAAGCCTTCGCCTGCGACTGCGCCGCGGCCGGCCTCCGCGGCAACATGGCCGAGACCAAGCTGGGCCCGGGCCGGGAGGTCGACGCGGCGGCGCTCCCTGGGCAGCGCGAGCTGGAACCCTGGGCCCTGGCGCTCCGCCACGGCGCGCTGCCGACGGCCCCAGCGACCCCCGCCGCTGCGCCGGCGCAAGGGGGCCTTCTCGCCAAGGCCGCCCCGAGGTGGTTGCGGCGCAGACGGCGCGCGGGAGGCTCTTATTACCAGAGGCTGCGCAGCCTCTGCGCGGGAGGCCTGGACAAGCGCGTGGCCTTGACCCTCCTGCGCGCGATGACGGGATCCGACTACACGTTCCTGGCGCGCACCCGCGGCGGCCCGAGCGCGGAGGCGCGGGCGCTGGACGGGGCGCCGGCCACAGAGCACGAGCACGCCCTCGGCAACTCGCTAGACGACGCCACGCGCAGGAAACCCTTCGTCGCCGGCGCCGCCAGAGGCCACGGACTGCAGGGCGTGGAGCTCACGGCCCCCGCGGCGAACGCGGCCTCCTGGCGCCTCTGCCTGCAGCGCTGCCTGCGGCGACTCGGCCTGGAGAGCGCCGCCGTCCAGAGCTCGGCACCTTGCTTTGTTCCCGCGGCCTCTGGCAGGTAGCCCCCCAGGAACTAAGGGACACGGGCAGCAGGCTGAAGAAGAGGAAGAGGGGGGCGGGGCCAGGGAGGAGTGCGGGTAGGAGGGGGAAGGCGTTGCCGCGGCAGAGGAGTTTCCAAATCATGTTATCCAGATCCGCGAGGCCCCATCCGACATTTCCCCTCTAATATTGACGTTTTCTCGCTGACGCTACAAATGCGCGGCGAGAATGAGACATAATAAGACGGGGCTCCCGTCGCGCTGGAGAGGGCGAAATGTCGCTCTTCGCGCCTGCGCCGCGCTCGTTCTTCCTGGGCGTTGAGCTCCCCCTCGGTCGCGGCGTGCGTTTTTCGACCGCCAAATCGTCGACGCGCAGGTGGGCGAAACTGTCGATTTCGCTCCGGCGTGCGCGGATTTCGCGTGGGAGTGGCGCCCCCGCCTCGGCGCGACGCATATTTCTCACTCGTCGAGTCTCTCGGAGCGGGGGCGCGTGCGAGCGGTTGGTTTGTCGCGCTGGCCCATGCTCCTTGCAGATTTCGCCAAGAAGTGCCGTTCCCCCATAGGCGCGGTGCGTGATTCGCTTCCCGACGCGCATGACAGCGGCAGCGACAGCGGCCCGCGCGAGAGTGGACGAAATGCGGTTCCCGCCCAAGCGCCGCGCAGCTTGTGCGTAAAAACGGCAGTGCTGTTTCGGCGTGGTGCACGCTTCGTCTTCGCAGTGTTCATCGGACATGTGGCCGCGCGAGAGAGAGAGAGAGAGAGAGAAACATAGAGAGACAAGTGGGGATCTCGCCGCATCGCCGCGCAATGGTTTTCGGAAGTTCCGCTCCGGCCCCGTCACGGCCCGCGTTATTCTTCTTCGCCCAGTCGTCGGAAGCGGGTCCGCGCGCGAACGCCTCGGTCCTTTAGCTGGCCTGAGTGCGGCCCCTTCTTAGTACCTTGAGGCAATACAGACGGCGTCGCTTTTTCATTTCAGCCTAGACGTTTCGCCGTCGACGTTGCAAAATACGTGGCGGTAGCGGGACGCGGCACACATCGTGCGCTAAATGGCGAAAGGTTGGCTTCGCCCACGCGCCACGATTACATGTGTTGAAACATGAAGTTCCCGGTTGGGCGCGGCGCGCTTTTAGTTTGCCATATTGTCGGACATACGTATACGCTCGATGGAGCGAGATGTCGTTTTTGCTCAAGCGTCGCGTAGGCAGTACCTCCAAGTTGAGTTCGCGCTGTCGGGCGAGGCGCATGTCGTTCGATCGTCGCTCTTCTTGGAAGCTGGGCTGCGCGCCCACGAGCGGAGCGATACTTTCGATTCTGATCACAGCTTGTCCCCGAAAGTCGCGTTCCCGCTGGGGCGCGGCACATGGTTGTTCTTCGCCGCGTCGTCGGAAGCTGGGCCCTGCGTGCGCGCGAGAGCCTCCCCCTCGCCAAGTCGGCGCGCGCGCGCCTTCCCACTCAATGTCCAGTGGTGCCAGCACCGATTCCGACGTTGCGGGATGGGCAGTGCGAGTGGGAGTGGGCTCGCTGACTCGCTCGAGTTTGCTACCTTGACTCCTGGATCTCACTCCTGCTACACGCCGCCGCTCCTCCTCCTCCTCCTCCTCCTCCTCCTCCTCGACGGGCTCATCCTCACTCCTCCTTCCTCCTCCTCCCCCTCCTTCTCTCCTCGTCGATATCAAAGGAGACAACCAAGTCATTGTGCACTGGACCCGAGGATCTGCCTGTATCCAACAGCACAAATACCGATCGGGGGTCAGGTCCATCCAGAATACGCGGCACAGTCTTATGCGCCAGTGGGGGATTGGAACCGCTGGCAGAGGAGATGACCTCCTCAGACACGTGCGACGGAGGGGGCCCAACGCCAGGCCTCGAGCTTCAGAACTTGTTTCTCGGTTCGCGTCTGAACACCTCCTCGGGCCAGGGCGGAAACCCGCTTGCCCGTTTGTCCGCGCCCCAATCGGGCGCACTCGCTCTCGGGGTCTCTTCTGACGGCGGGGTCGGGGAGCGCCTCGCTGGTTTCGGGTTCGCGGTCGAACTCGTCGACCGAACAACGAACGAGTGTGTGTGTGTGTGTGTGTGTGTTCGGCTCTCCTGGAGGGAGGCGGCGGCCTCGGGCAGGCGGCCGTGACCCAAGCCGAGCTCCGAGGCCTGCAGGCAGTCACAGGTGCCATCGAGCGCTTGCCGACGACTCACCGATCCAGATGGGCTGGTGTCTCGAGGAGGAGGAGGAGGAGAGGGAGGAGGAGGAGGAGGAGGAGGAGGAGGAGGCGGAGGAGGTGGAGCGACTTGGCTGTGACCCCCCTCTCCCTCTACTTTCCTCCCCGCGCCTCTCGCCAGGCCGCCGCCGCTGCCGCTCGACTCCGGCGAAGTGGCCGAAGCTCAAGCTCTCCTCCTCTCCTCCTCCTCCTCTCCTTCCTCCTCCTCCTCCTCCTCCTCTGCCTCCTCGTTGCTCTCCTCATCATCATGTTCCGCCGCCTCCTCTTCGTCTTCATCTCTTACGCTTTTCTCCCTCCAGGGCCGCCTCATCGATGGACGCCACACGTTCTCGTATCTTAGCTGGTTTGCCTTTGGCTACTGCACTCCTCGACTTTTCGCCTTCACATCCCGATTTTCCCTCGGCAGCCTAAGCAGAGACTGATCATCTTCATCAACCGCGGGAGAGTTCTTCCTGCGTATCTCATCTTGCGCTTTTCGTTGTTCCACCCGCTGGCCCAGAGTATCACTCGTATGTGTGCCTCTTCACCCCCGCTGCCGTGAAGGACGTGTCTGCGGATACGGAGAGGAACTTCAGCCCGCTCTTGCTCGCTTTCGAGCGCGATTTCACACGGCTCCACAGGAAGATCGCGAGGAAGTCTCCAACGTGTTGACTCCTGCCCGAGCTGTCTCCGGCGTAGGCGCAGAGGCACTGACTAGCGCCGGCAGGCACCCGCGTGCCCGGAAACAATGTGGCACAATCGTGCTTGCTGGGACCTGGCGCCGCTGCCGTGACCTTGATTCGTCGAAAAAAGAGCAGCCTCGGGAGCTTGGCCTGCTAGTGCCACTGGCATCGTGTGTGCTCCTGCGTCGTGGACATGGTGCCTTCGTCGTTTTCCGCAGGTGCATTCGCAGACACTGCTCCAATATCATCCGTGTCCGCTTCGCTCGTCACGCAGCGGGATGCAACGCGTGATGCGATCGAAGACGCCCATGGCGAGCCACCGCCCTCCCCCTGCCTTTCTAGAAACGCTGGTGCCGCGAGAAGCCGAGCAGACGCGCGTCCACGCTAAGTGGACTGCGTGCTCGGGCCCTCCTGGGGCCGTCTTTGCGTCCTGGGACGTTCTGCGAGCCTTGTTGGGGGACTCTCTTCGGGGGCCTCCTGGGGCCCGCTCGGGCCATCTCTGAGCTCCGAGGGGCCCGTCTTGGGGCGTTTTTGGGACCGTCTGACGTGTGCGGAGGCCTCTTGGGGCCCCCCTGGGGCTCTCCAGGGCTGCCTCTGGGCTCTCCTGGGCCGCCGTGGGGCCAGATCGGGGCCCTCTGGGGCTGTCTTGGGTCCTCGTCGGGGCCTTTTGGGCTGTCTTGGGGAGGCATTTGGGGGCCTCTTGGGATGAGTCGCACGCTCTGAAGACAGAGTAGGTGAGAATCAGGCAGCACTTGAAACACCAATTGGACAATCCTGATCTTGGCTTCTTGAGGCCCTCTTGGGATACCTCTTGAGGGCATCTTGGAGGCCTCTTGAGTGCCTCTTGGGGGCCTCTTGGAGGCCTCCTGGGGGCCTCCTGGGAGATTCTTGAAGGCCTTTTGCGATCTTCCTGGGGCCTCTTAAGCGCCTCTTGGCGGCATCGGGGGCCATCCTGGCACTCGAGGGCTCCCAGGGCCAGTTCGTATTCCCCCCCCTCCAGTACCGAAATCATAGAAAACATGGATTGGTTCAGTGGTTCGTGGTTTCTGCAAAAGTCACGCCCAGAATTCCAGCGACTGGGTCCCCTCAGTGTTGAGAACCCGAAGGGAGGTCGGCCTCTGCACGCGCGAATGTCGTATTTCATCAGCCTGGTGCCTTCTTCCCTCTGTCGCCCCTTCCCCCTGACTGCTTTTGAGTACTACTTGTGGTCCTCTCTCTCTCTATCACTCTCTCTCTCTCTCTGTCTGTTTCCCTCTTTGTCCTCCTCCTATGTGGCGAGAGGGGGGAGGGGAGGGGAGGAGGAGGAGGAGGAGGAGGAGGAGGAGGAGGAGGCGGAGGGCGGAGGGCGGGGGGGAGAAAGAGGACAACCCGAAGGAGCCTGAGGGCACTCGGACTCCACTCCAGTTCCTGCGGCCCCACGGCCGCGACCTTCCTGATCCCGGGAAGCCACGGGCGGTCGGCTCGTGTTCTGATGACAGGGGGAAAGTGCCACCCGGACGCCTACCCAATCCCATGCAGCGGCATTCCACTCAGTGCCTCGCGGCACGGTGCCGGACTTGCACCCCGCTTGCATCGGTGTCTGTGTCGATCGGTCCATGCTTGTCTGGCTTCCTCCCGTGGTTCTTCGTGCCCGTCCTCCTGCTACGACATCAGTTGCACTATTCCGTTGGTCGTCTGAGTCGTAATGCCTCTCTTCATCCTCCCCCGCCTCCTCTATATTTTTCCCTGCCGTCCAGCAGCAGGCAGATCGAGATCAGACAAGAAACCTGCTTGCCAGTGGGCACCCGCACGGAAATGTCTCCTCCCCCTGGAACTCATGACCACCTCACGAGGCTTCAGATGCACAGACCTGCGCCCCAATGTTTCTCATGGCAGGGTTTCTTATCGCGCGCACCTGGGCGTTGACCGAGGCATCGGTGGATGGTCACTGCTGCGGGAACGCTGTGGTCGGCGCCTGGGGGCAGCGCGCCAGATTCGGCCCGGAGCTCCGGAGACGTCTCAGCTGACCACACCTTCCTACCAGCGCGCAAGACTGCCCCGCGCCGAGACGAAGGAAAAGGGCGAGAGGGGGGAGGGGAGGGGAGGAGGAGGAGGAGGAGGAGGAGGAGGAGGGGGAGGAGGAGGAGGAGGAGGAGGAGGGGAGGGAGGTGGAGGAGGAGGAGGAGGGGGACGGGGGAGGGAAAGGGGAGGGGGTGTGGGGGAGGGGGTGGGGGGGGGGTGGGGAGGGGGTGGGGGGAGGGGGGGGGGGGGTGGGTGAAGGGGAGAGGGGTGGGGGTAGGGAGAGGGGAGGGGGTGGGGGGCACGAGGCCGGGCCGCCCGGCGGCCCGCACGCCTAGCGGCACACCCGATCAGCCTGGGGGCCTTTCTGGCGCCCGTGGAGCGGACGGCCGCGCTCGCGCAGCGCCGCCCATCCGGTTCGGTCCTGGGCCCCAGAGGGGCCCGTGAGAGGTGGCACAGCTGAGTCCGAGGAGCCTCCTCATCGCCTACCTCCTCCTCCTTCCTCTACCTACTCCTCTCCTCCTCCTCCTCCTCCTCATCCTCCTCTCCCTCATCTCCTCCCCGGTCGGTTCCGCCTCCTCCTCCCCTCCTCCTCCTCCTCCTCCTCCTGCTCCTCTCGTTCCTCCTCTCTCTCCCTCCTCCTCCTCCTCCTACCTCCTCCTCCTCCTCTTTCCTCCTCCTCCTCCTCCTCCTCCTCCCCCCAGGCCCTCGCCCTGCCCGCGTGCGGCGCTCCGGGCGCCGCGGGCGACGTCCCGGTGGTTCCCGCGCGCGTGCGCTGCCGATCTCGCCGATCTCGTCATGGGCGGGGCGCCTTCGGGCCCGAAGGCTGGGCGCCTGCTGCCGCCACCTCGGGGGCAGGGCAGCGCGCCGCTGGACTTGAGCACGTGCTGACGGGGGCCGATCGGCTGCCGAGGCTGCACAAGAGACGTGCCTGCCGTAGCCGGGCGGCCCTATCTGCAGCCGCGAGGCCCTGGTCTGGGGCCTGAGGCGGAGCTGCGCCGAAGAGCTGGCCTGGTCTGGGCCCCGACGGCTCGAGATATAGCGCATGATTGCCGTCCTCTCTCCGAGAGGTCTATAGGGGGCCTCCAAGGGGCATGCAGGGGCGTCCACAGCGGCCTCTCAGAGTTCCGAGAGGCCTCCAGAAGCTCTCAGAAGCTTCCATGGGCAATCCTCCAAAGCCTCCAGGAGGTGATAGTCTGATGTGGCGTACTCGTGTTCGTTCCTCCTCTTGCCTCCCTCCCCCTCTCTTGTGCCGTGCTCGGACATGAAGCAGTGCCTGTTGTGCCTCGGCGCAGCGAGTGCTTGAACCTGAGAAGTGACATAGAGCAAGGAATGCAGTCTGGCCGTGCCAGGAAGGTTTTGTCGAACATAATGGCGGAAACAGACCAGGTTGGCGAGTGGAACAAGCCCGTCGCCCCGTGGAAAGCCTCCGCGTGAACGTGGCAAGATCAACGGTGACGCTCCAGTGGCAATGAGCATGATCACGAAGCAGAACCTCAATCATCCAACTCCCGCCTATCTACTGCAGCGCCGCTGATCAAAGACTCGTCGTGTACAGCTGCACCGTGGACCACAAGCTCCTCGTGGACGTCCGCGTTGATGGGCTGCTGGCTGCATTATCACCACCCGCACAGCTGTCAGCGTTATGTTCCTCGTACTTGTGTATCGTGTTCTTCTTCGTCTTTCTGATAACATTGTTACGAGTAGTATGTGTATTCTTATTATTGCCACTACTATTCCTATTCGTCGTAGTGTAGTGTAGTAGTAGTAGTAGTAGTAGCAGTAGTAGTAGTAGTAGTAGTAGTAGTAGTAGTAGTAGTAGTAGTAGTAGTAGTAGTCGTAGTAGTCGTAGTAGTCGTAGTAGTAGTAGTAGTTAGTAGTAGTAGTAGTAGTAGTAGTAGTGTAGTCGTTAGTCGTAAGTCGTAGTCGTTAGTCGTCCGTAGTAGTTGTAGTAGTCCGTCGTCGTCGTCGTGTAGTAGTAGTAGTTGTAGTAAGTCGTAGTTGTAGTAGTAGTTAGTCTAGTAGTAGTAAGTGTAGTTAGTAGTTAGTAGTAGTGGTGGTGGTGGTGGTGGTGGGGTAGTTAAGTAGGCAGTAGTAGTCGTATAGTTGTAGTGTAATAGTAGTAGTCGTAGTAGTAGTCAGTCGTAGTAGTAGTAGTAGTAGTAGTTAGTTCGTTTCTTATCGTTTTGTAGTAGTAGTCGTCGCCGTCGTTCGTCGTAGTAGCAGTAGTAGTAGTAATAATAATTAGTAGTAGTAGTAGTAGTAGTAGTGGTAGTAGTAGTAGTAGTAGTAGTAGTAGTAGTAGTAGTAGTAGTAGTAGTAGTAGTAGTAGTAGTAGTAGTAGTAGTAGTAGTAATCGTAGTATCATCAGCAGTAGTATTCGTAGTATCATGACTAGTGACTAGCGTTCGTAGGATCATTATTACTCTTATGTTTTACTGTTGTTATTGATTTGACTACACGGTTTGTTATTGCTGTTGGTGGTATTATTAGTGTCACCGTCATATTTATTATTCGTACTATCATCATTATCACCATCCTTAGTATGACAAGTAATAACAGCAGTGGAATTATAGATACTATAGTATTTTGACATTCGCGCTTTTATTATATGTAGAATTCGCGTTAGTAGTATTCGTACCGTTCGTATTCTTATGATCACGATTCGCATTATCATTGTTCTTATCATCGTCATTGCTATTGTTGTCATCGTTATATGATGAGATCACTACTTATTAGTATTCCTCCTCTCCTCCTTCTCCCGGCTCAAGCCTCAGGGAGGCTCTCCATGACACCATGGCCACACCCGCGAGCGCCGCCGTGCGACCCGCGCGCCTCTCGGCGCTTCTCGCCGTGGCCGTTTCGGCTCAGGCCTCGATGGGGCCCTTCATACCTGGTCACCATTCGGCGGCGCGCCGAGGGGGGAAGTTTTGGGGTTTGTGGTTTCCGGGCGTTTTCGTCGATTCTCGGCGCTTCTCTCCAGCCTCGGGATGAGTTCCAGCGGCTGCGCCTCACGGAGAGGCGTCTGGGGGTGCCCAGATCATCCCGAACGGCCGCCGGAGAGAGGAGCTGCGACACAAAAACCACCAGGTGTCCGAAAGGGGGCATGCCTTCTCAGAAGGCGGC